AATCAAGTTCAATGACCATTGATTAAATTAACTCCTAATAAATTTAATGACTATACTGTCAGAAATAAATAAATACCACATTTGTTTGGCAGTTTCGAGTGACTACAAATATCAATATAAACAATAACTTGTTCGCATTATCAAATTGGAGTCTGAACTTTATATCGAAATTACTTCATCTTTTAGAACGAGGGGTAAATAAAAAAAAGAAAAAAAAATCTGACAATCAAATTCACACTGGTCATAATTTTTTCTTATGCCGTAAAATATTGTGACGTCGGTAAATTTTATTCAATATATATATACAAAAATTAAGATAAAATAAATAAAAATAAAATTGGGATCCTCATCAAGGCAGGACATAGGCTCGTCTACCCCATCTATAGTTAGGGCGACTCATTAAAAAGGGAGCCCGACTATTTGTAGGTGATATTAATATGACAGCTTCCTGAGCGAAATTGTACTTGAGCTTCCAAGCAAAAAGTCAAGACATTGAGTTGGCCGATCAAAGTTCATACAAGCTGATATTCTCACATATTTGTCTCTCAGCATAAGGGCTTAAGATTTATACGGTATTGATTGTATTTCCCCATTTTCTTTTGCCTTTTGTTTTTGCCATTTTGAATTAATGAACCTACTTGAATTGCCAAAGAATAAATATACTATATTGGAATTCTTTTATAAAATTGAGATTAGTGTAATAAAACGCAGAAACCCTTTGGGGACTGTTTAAGTTATTCACAGATAGTGATCTCTGATAATGGAGAAATACTTCATTGGGGCATCTTGCATATAAACACATGGTAGGGCCACTGATTCAACTCACGATACCTTAAATCTCGAATTACTCTAACACCACCGCGGACACCGAGTCTTTATTAATAAGCGGTTCTGATGGCTGACCAGCGTGAGGGAGAGTTTCCAAGACAGCCTTTCTTCCTCTATGGGACGCCCATGTAACCAAATAAAGTCCAGCAAGAATAAGAAGTCCTCCCAAAATGCTGTTCATAAGAATGTGTGGATAAAGGGTTATCTTTGATTAAAAAAAAAAAATGAAAAACAGAAAAACTGTATGTTAGGTAAGGAGTACTGGACAGTATAATAAACAATATTTTAATTTTTTCATTTAATACTGTCCCATGCTATGTACTCATTATTAAATGAGCCACTATATAGTAGTAAAGCTGTTGATTGAATGTCGAAGAGCAGCCTTGCTGAGCAGAGCAGAGGTGCATGATAAGAATCCTCAACAGCCTTGCCGAGCAGAGCAGAGCAGAGGAGCATGATAAGAATCCTCAACATGAATAGGCTTAAAGCTAATATCTTAAACCAAAAATGAACTGATATGAATTAAGGAAATTCTAGAGTGGAACCTTCCCAAATAAATAGGGCTTCCAAGGAAAATTCCTGATAGCAGTGACGAGAAAACAGGTTGAAGCGGCATATACAACGCGACCAAGGCAGGGCCTAGAATCTTATTTGACCACGTCAAAAGCCCATAGTTCAGAGCAGATGCTACGATTCCCTATATAGAAAATTAGAAAGAAACAACGAATTCTTAAGTAATTCACTTCATTGAACACAAGTGAAGTAAATATGAACTCACTTATCAACCTACCCAAGTGCTTTAGAAGGATTCTCCACCACAAACAAGAAGATTACGAGTAAAAATGAAGAAAAAATATGAACACATATGTTGGTTCTGAAATCAGATTATATTTGACTTTTTTCTCTAACCATATGCTGTACAATAGGCACCAAGGATCCAGCATCCCACACTTCCAAACACCTTCTATCCTACCATCAGAAGTGCTATATTTTAGAATTTTAAAAAATCCCAACTTCATTTTTCTACAACCTCTTAAATGAAAGTAATAAATTCAAATTCCGGCCAGAATCAAGTTACTGCCTTCTACTAAACTGAATGGAAATGAAACAACAGAAAATAACTAATTCATCCCTCTATAGTGAGAATGTGAGATAATGTTGCAAAAAAGCCAAAAAATAGAAAATAAAAATGAATACAATTTTGGAAACAGAATTATTTATTAAAGCATACATTCTCAATTCTTTTTCTATTTGGTTTATTTTACTCATACGTGCACCAAAAATAATTTTGTTTCCACTACATTTATTATGGAATTTTGTTCTTCCGTGATTTAACAGTCAGCAACTCCACTTGTTCTTTAAAATCAAGTAGTTTCTGTTTCAGAAAAATAGAAAAAGATTTTTATAATGAACTTCCTTGCTTTTCTTAACTTACAGCATAGGACACTGCAAAGACTGCAGATTGTGTCAAAGTCCAGTCAGTGGCTTCATTTGTCATAAAGAATGCAGTCACCACCATAAACAGAACACCAAAGAAGTATGAATACGCTGTCACTGATATGCTTGCAGGATACTTGGTTAAAAGTGGAGCCTGAAACATATTTAAGAAGGGAAGGTAAAGCTCTAGAAACAACACAGTTTAGCTATTAGATCATGAAAATATACAAATAACCAAAAATGAAGTGGCAGATCTATATTCTCTTGGGCAAAATGAGAGGTGCATCATTTTAATAAATCCAAATCAACTGCTACAATCACATCCAAATTATGGTAAACTGGAAATATAGATTACAGTTTAGGTTTAAGGATTCAACAATCATTTGAAACACAAAAATTTAGGGTGCAGAAATGAAAGTTCAAAAAGGTAAAAGCATAGAAATTGAAAGTTATTCCGATGTACAGCTAGTTCAATGTTTATGAAACTGTTCAATAACACTTAAGAGAAGCAAAAGATGGAAAGGAGAAAAGGGACCTCATTAAACTGAAAGCAATGGCCTGTGGAAGGTAATGATGTAAAGAAAGAAAAACTATATAAGGTGTAACATCTTAAAAACAATACGGCATCCTTTGAAACAGGAGATTCGCTGAACCAAATAGGCCAACCAATAAATTGGACACTAGCCTGTGAAAGTCATTGTCAATGGAATATAAGAATTCACACAGTGAACATTGACCTAAAAGCTCAGTAATCTCTACCCTAAACTGAAAATGAAAGAAGCTTGTTAAATTTAACTCAACTAGCAATTCAACAAAACAGGCTTGATGAGTTTCAATCAGTAAAAAGATAGTTTTGCCTGACCAAATCATCAAAAATTACAAAAGGGTGACATTTTATAAGGATTTGGGGTCAATTTTGCATCAAACTAAAGTAGAAAGACTGTTCTGTTTGAAGGTCTCATTATCTATTCAGCACTGGATATCATCTTTGATGAGTTGGATAACATATTTGTTTTTCAAAGGAATAGATTCGCAGAAGGTTATGAACTTCAAGATCTATACGAATTACCTGAATGGCAAGATAAACTGCCATGCACATGCAGTTCCCAATTAAGCATAAAACGCCAATTTGCCAATCATCAATTTTTACTTCTAGAAAACTACTAAATAACAACCCAACAGGTTCAGGCAGATCCTTGGCAGTAAGTTCAATTTGCGCTGTAAATTCGGATTCCTTATATCCAAACAAGGCAGGACCACGGAATACAGCCATCAGAATAGCACCAGTAATACACACAAGAGTACCTACTACCTTAGCATGACCATCAATTCTTCGCAAATTCACTTTTTCTGTACTGCAAAAAGAATAAATATGCATCTAAATCTCATGTACACGAGAAGGCGCTCCCATGCACGAGGGTAGGGTGAGATGATACACAGAGAGAGAGAGAGAGAGAGTAGAATGACCCCATTATCACAGCCAATATGAATGTAAAGACGGGAATAGCAGGCTGAATAGCTGCAGCATAACTCGCATTTGTGTATCCAAGGCCAATAAGAAACAAAAGCTGGTTCCCGAAAATCCTATTCCAATTCCAAGGAAAAGAAAAAGGCCGAAGATAAATAAGCAGCATTGCAGTATCCAAGTATATAACATAAAAAGCACTGGAGATATTGAACATACCCACTTAAACCAAGAAGGATGAATGTGAGTACAATGCGTGTATTCAGAGGTGGTCTTAGCCCTCTGCAAAATATGAACTAGAAGATTAGTAAGTGCTACACTATTTATTACAGTACCTAGCAGTACAGCTCATGAAAATACCTTAGAATGGAGGTTGTTTACTCCATAGCCCTAATTGTTTCATTATTTTTAGATGTTCCTTAAAAGTTGAAAAATTAAGAAATATCAATCAGCATGGAGAAATTTGTTAGGAATGAGCTGTGAAGCAGTTGCTGCTTTGTGTAATAAACTAACTTTTCAATGATATTTATTTTTATAATTCCTAAGCAGGCGATTGCACATTGTGCATTTGATGATTGAGTGCCCAGAGAAAGGTTGGTAGATTGACTATACAAATCACGATTTTTTTGTAACGTTTATTGGTTGTTCACAATATCAGGGAAGCTTACTAAAGATTGAAGTGTTTACACTTCAACCTGTATGGATAGAGTAAATTAAGAGCATGTTTGAGCCCCATTTTCTCAACAAAATACATTTTGGAATAGTATTTCGACGGAGAATGTGTGGTGAAAAAAATGAGAAAAAGTTTTGGGTTTGCATGTAATATTATTTTACTGAAGAATGTGCGGTTGAAAATAAGAGAGAAAAATATATTTTGAAAATAATGAGGGCAAAACAAGGGCTAAATAAGATGCTAAAATGAGATACTTTTAAGTTTCTATTTCATTGAACTAGTTCTAGATATAAAGCCTTTCTTAGAAAAAAGTATAACTCAGATTTATTTCCTCCAAGCTATTCCATTATATATATAGTCAATTGTTAAAAAAAGAAAAAATAAATAAAAAGTCAAATCATATTATTAATTATTTGGACTCATTAACGAGTTAGATTATACAGTTGGTCAATATTCTCCATAAATCGACACAACAAGCTTTATCAAAGCCATCATGTTCAATTCATAGCTGCATCTATTAGACTATCCAATACAACTAGATGTTTCACAACCACAACAGATCATGTTTATTTTGGTTTACGTCTCACATCTAATAAGTTTCATTTGGATCGCATCATTGTTTTAAACTAGAGATTTTTTAAGCCTAAGCAAGATATATCACACTCACCTAACTCGCATTTTCCTTGGTTTATCTTCAATCAGTAGCACCTCCATTTGTTGACTTATTATCTGATTCTAGTAGGGTCGCATATCCATTTGAACATCCTCATTTGTACTTCATTTTATGGACATTTAGTCACTTTAACAACCCAACACTCAGCATCATAGATTATAGTAGGTCCAATCAGGAGTTAGTTAATGCCGTCAATAACTTAGATAATTATTTTTCATTCTCAATATCAATACCGCGAAATTTCTTAAAGTTACATGATTTATTTTATCGGTTGCAATCATAAAATTCACGTGTGTGATGATTCTAAAATATGGATTTTTGTTGGACACGTACAAAACACATTTATGTTGAAATTCTGCCATTTTAATTTCCTGATCTGAAGAAATTGCATTTCCAGTAATTTTGTATTTTCCCTTTTATGCATTCGGTCCTTGATTATAGTGATTTGATTTATCCTAGAATTATACTAGACATATTAGGTAGGAGGCTAGGAGCTATCATTGACCATAGAATTAGGCTTAAACTGAATATATAGTTTCATAGAATAGATTATTACTTGTCTACATAAATCTATGTAATTTCACTTTTTCATTATTAATATAGAATCAAATTGTTCTACATGGTATTGGTATCGGAGTTAACCTAGAATTCCTGGGAGTTCGTTTTCTAGTGACCTCCATGGCCCTTTACAGTCACCACAATTTCCATTGGTGGCTCTATCAATTAGTCGATCAATCATAGGGAAGCCTGTCACTATTGCCAGTCTTCAAAAACCTCATATTTCTGCTGTGTTAGGTTTGTGTCAAGGGCTTCTTTCAATCAAATGGAAAACTACATTTTCCACTAGTTCCTATGTTCAGTCAAGTGATATTTCTAAAGGTTTAAGTGTTTTTCCAATTTGTTATTCTAACCACAAGGCTGGATCTTCCTGTTTCTTCTCAATTTATAAGCATTCCACAAAATCTCATCCACTATGATCGGACTCAACATGTGGAGATTGACCGACACTTCATAAAAAAAGATAACTAATGGAGAGATTTGTATTCCTTATATTGCTTCAAGAAATCAACTTACGAATACCCTTACTAAAGGGTGTCAAGCACCTTCTTTCAGTCCATTTTAAGTGAGCATGGAATGAAAAACATTTTCGAGATGGCTTGAGAGGGATCGTTGAAATTTGGCATATTAATTTCCTATCTAAAGAAATTGCATTTCCAGTAATTTTGCATTTGGCCCTTGATAGTAGTGATTTGATTTATCCTAGAATTATTAGATTGAATGGATAGTTTCATAAAATAGATTATTACTTGTGTATATAAACCTATGTAATCTCAATTGTTCATTATCAATATAGAATCAAACTGTTCTACAATTTAATTATTTTTTCAAATACTGATACATCTTGGTGATCGTGGATACCACTTAAGGCTGGGATGGTGATATATAATCTAAGTTGGTAGTCTTTAATTATATTGTTTCACTATGATTTCCAAAGAATCCTATGAAAAATATACGATTTATGAGAATTATCGGAATAGGAAAGTGCAACTACTCATCAATTCCTAGGAGCTGGGATCATTCTAAGTTTTAAGGTCCCCGTCCAAGGAACCTGTTGTTCGTTATTCTTACTTGCATAATAGTGAAAAATTTATGAACTTAACTAATACTTGAAAGTTTGAAATTGCAAATTAAATTAAGATCATGGATGCTCAAAATGAGAAAACCAAATATTAATTCGATAAAGATTGGAATCATTGTAAGTATTATTCATCCCAATCTTGAGCCAAAGAGGCAATACTCAGGCAACGCAGTTAGGCTGTTGAGATTAACTTGGTCCAACCAAATATGGAAGCCAGCAAAACACCAAGGCACTATGTTCTATCAAAGACCAACAACAACATCATACAGCTTACTGAAATTATTTTAGTAACTAACTTGATTGTAGGATTGAAATTGACCAGGACCACTACTGACAGATGTTTTACAGATTTTGGGGATTTCACTTGATTAAGAATCTCAACAAAAGCAAACTAAAAATGGTAATGTTGACCTCCAAACTTATGAACTAGATTTTTTCATGAAACTTTGTGTCAAAGAATGATGAATAAATTAAGGTTTACACACATCCCCAAGAGAGAGGGATGAGGGGCTGACCTCTCGCGAAAATAGGCGACGGGAGCGAGGATAGAGAGGGCTACGAGGTCCCGGAAGAGACAGAAAACGAGCTGATTAACGCCTCCGTTGAGTGCGACTTTAGTGATAACATGGTAACCTCCATAGAACACCATCACCATCGCTGAAGCCAAATGGGCTCTCCATTCATTTGAACTTGCCATCTTCTTGATAAGAGTAATCTCCTCCAATTCTTACATACGAGAGGATGGTTCGAGTGTAAATTGAGAAAAAGGCCAGAAACTAGTTTTTATCCATTTGTTTCTGAATTGGGAGGGTTTCGTTTGTTAACAGAGAAGAGGAAGACCGACTGTTTACCAAAACGAGTTTTTAAATGGCTTATTGCGCAAAACGCTCCAAAGCGTTCTCCTATTTCAAATTTAAATAAAACAAAAAATAATAATAATAAAGAGATTAATTGCCACTATACTCCGAAATTTTTCAAAATGTTCAAATGACTCCCAAATAAATTATTAAGAAATTCAGAAATAAAATAAAATCTATCTCACTCCACCAAACAATTTCCATCAATATAATCCAAATCAATACTCCAACAATCTAAGTCGATACTACATTATACTCCAAAACAATAAACAATTTTCAAAAAATCGAAATTCCTAAAAATTTCAAGAATTAAAGTTTCAAACCAAACCCGAAGATTGGGTTTGAAACATTTGGACGTTTTGCATATTAAAGACCAAACGTGAAAATATTTTGTGCTAATAAGCCTTTTTAAACACATAGCCAAGACTGTGGCCTTTTTTTTCTTTTTCTTTTTTTTTGCTAGCTAGTTTTTAAATTTTATCCTACCATTGCCGAAATTTATAAATTATTTATTAAAAAATAATTAAAATACATTTTCTTATTTATTTATTTTTACCAATGATCGATGGCAATTTTAATTAATTAAAGCATATTGACATTAAAATGAAATAAGAAAAATAGTTCCATAGACGCATCATATCACACATTCTTAGGTCAAGATTTTGTCGGTCGGATCATGAATTTTACCGGTTTTGGTAATGATTACAGACGAAATAGTCAAATGAAAATATAAATATAAATTAAATGATTTGATCAAAACAAATTTATACACGGATGGCATTCTAACATATGATTTATTATTTATATAGGATAAATACAAAAAAGTTAGCTTATAGGATTAAACGAAAAGTTATTTTATAAGATAAATACAAATGTCATTTCCAATGATTGCATTAGGATTAGTATTTTATTGTCAAATACAACTTATTTCTCAGTATTGATTCGAGTTTATAATATATTCAATTTCCATCAAACTCAAAATCCTCATCACTCACATGTATGTCATGTAACTACAACTTTCAGGTATAGCAACTCCAAAATCGTGCATATAAAAAATTTCTTTTAAGTCCATGTCTACCAAAAAACATAATAGAAGAATCCATAAAAAATAACAATAGGTGCTTTACTTCGGACTTGTTTGGCACAGCTTTCGAAAAATCAAAAGCTACTTCTAAAGATAATAAACTACTTTTGAATATATTTGGACAATTTTTTAAAAATACTTAGTCTAACTAGTGAAGTGTTTAAATGAAACTAGCTTAAAAAAACTTCATCATAAAGTTCTTCTACAAGAAGCACACACATAAGGACCAGCCAAATGGACCCTAAAACTACTATAGGCCGTTTGGCATGATTTTTGAAAAGTCACCCAAAGTAACTTTTTAAGTTCATTTGGCTAATTTTATGAATATGAAGAAAGCAATTTAGCAAAATTTGTGTGTTGTACTTTCCACAGAATGACAGAATGTAAACACACAAGTAGTTGGACAATAAGAATCTGTTTGATTGCAAAGATAAAATTTAGGTGGAAAAAAATAAATTCCAAGGAATTGAATTACCTAAAAATTATTTTCCTGAAAATTGTAAATTATTGTATTTGATTGGTATAATTTTTCACGTGAAAAATATTGAAGTAAAAGTGTTTTTTTGGCGTTCGTTTGACTTTGTTTTACATGAAAATTATCAATTTAAGGAATATCTACTTCTACCATTGTTTCTAGAATTTGTTTCCATTGTCAACCAAAAAAAAAGGAAAAAAAAAGATCAAAAAATCACCTATGTTTTGGTGTTCGTTTGACTTTGTTTTACATGAAAATTGTCAATTTCAGGGATATTTTCTTTTACAAATGTTCCTAGAATTTGTTCTCATTGCCAACAATTAAAAAAAAAACCAAAAAAAAAAAGGTAGAAAATCAAAAACCACCTACTCTCTAAAAAAATAAAAGGTGGAAAATTACGCTTTAAGGTGTTGTACCTAAAAATTCATGGAAAATCAATTCCATGAAAAATTTTGTCAATCAAATAGGCCAAAAGTGAAAGTTGGAATTCGAATTCCAAGTTCCATGGAAAATTTCGTGCAATCAAACGGAGCCTAAGTTCATCAAAATTTAATGTGCAGGCAAGGGAAATAAATATGGCAAATGTTCCTGCACCCTCAGCACAGCCATAGAATAATTTCATCCACTATCAACATAGCATGCACCAAAAATCGAAAGGAGGTAAGAAACTTAAAGGCCTTGATGTAACATATACATATCCAAGTTCTTACATAAATTTGAGGTCACTGTAATCAAAGTTAGGCGAAAAACTTCCTAGTCACATCTAAGTCAATCCACGATTTTTGGTGTAGAGGTCGAAGAACCTGAGAAAATGTGTCCTATCCGGTATGTGATCCTGTTGAGAGACGAATCTTTATTACTAAACGGCTCTGATGGCCAAGATGGAACTCCAGCAGCTTGTTTCTCTCTATTGGATGCCCAAGTAACCATATATAGCCCAGCTATAATAAGAATTCCTCCCAAAATGCTGTTCACAATAATAAGTTGACAAGGGTGGGTTATCTTTGATGCCCCAAAATAAAACATTGCTTAAACTGAATTGATTAGCACCTCAAATCAAAAATGAAATTGGAGTTTTTAAAGAGTATAACCTTCCAAAATAAATAGGGCTTCCAAGAAAAATTCTTGATAGGAAAGCCGATAAAGCAGGTTGCAGCGGCATATACAAAGCAACCAAGGCAGGGCCAAGAACCTTATTTGACCATGTCAAAAGTCCAGAGTTCAGAGCAGATGCTACAATTCCCTGTAAGGAAATGCTTAAGTAATTCAATTAATTGAACGCAAGGGACGTAAATATCAAGTCATTTATCAACACCCCCCCGGTGCTTTTGAAGGAGCTCCGATCACCAAACGAGAAGATCACAAACAAAATTCGAAAAATGAAAATACAGAAAATAGTGTTGGTTCCAAAGTCAGATTATATTTAATATTTTCTAAAACCAGATGTAGAACAATAAGCACCAAGGATCTAGCCCCCACACTTAGAAACACCGTCAACTTCTAGATTGTCTCCTTCAATGCTATAACTCCAAATACCAACTAAACATAAAAGACGAAAACCAAAATGCCAACTAGCAGAAGAGCTCAAGACTCGTACTGTTGAAGATGAGATATAAATGAATACGTGTAGCCCCACCCTAAGAGCTAAAGTTATTAGATGAGACAGTCAACACACAAACTCTATAGAAAAAATTCCATTCTACTGTATTGCTAAATCTATTGTTGAATCTAAAGCAACTAGGTCCTTAGCAACTCCCACAAACCAAGTTAGTTTCCTGCTACTCCTCCCTCTTCTATCCTGCTCTGTCCTTTTTAATGTGCATTTGTACATGTGCGCGTAAAAAGCTGGCATTAATTTTTTACAGTATCATGAACAATTATGGAAAAGAAATAGCAAATGATTGGGAAGATGTTATTTTATTAATCAAAACAAAACTACAAATTAACAGACAAATCACATGATAGTTTTTTTTCGCTTTTTCCTTGACTTCAGTGATCCAAAAACAGAAGTTTATTTTAGTAGAATAATACTAATATAATATCACTAAACAAAAAAAGAGTAAGGAGCAGAAAGTCTTGATCAAGCAAGGAATTAATTATGTTCATGGCATGATTGTTTACTACACGTATGCTAATTTTAAATTATGGGGGGCTTCTAGTAACACTCCAAAATCTCTGTTAAATCGCCTTGTTTCAACACCCACCACCCAAAGCAAAACTTATCTAAGCCCCAGTTTTGTTTAGTTAAAAATCAGATTTTTATTAAATTTTGATCAAAGTTGATGAAATGTATGGTTATAAAGTTGATAAAAATTGTAAGTCCCATGAAATGTGTCGTAGAATGAGTTTGAAAAAAAAAAAAAAAAAAGTGTTCTAGAAAAATGGGGACCAAACAGGGGCTAAGTTGTTCCATACACCCCCATTATTCAAGAACTACCTCCAAATATTCTCCTCGTACTCTCAACCCCATCACCACCTTTTACAGCCACCACAACCTCCACTTAATATTTTTTAGACCCTCTCAAACAAAATATATTCAAATTTTCTGCAAAAAGGAAAGAAAAAAGAAAAATGATTTTGTAAATATGGAAAAAAATGCTCTCAAGCTGTCTGAATAGGATAATGAAATCAACTTATATGGATACCTGAATGATTCGAGGTTTCAAAAGGAAACCGCTGGTAAGATACAGTATTCCGTTTTAATTATTGACATCTCACCTTCTTTTCTGTTAACAAATAATTTAACAGTCATCGAGTAAGACGTAGAAACTTCTAGTCTCTCTAAAGAATGATTGAAGAGATCCTTGAATCTCTAGTTCTTTATTTTAATTTTCAATGTTAAAAAGGTTCTGGAATTTTTTTTTCCTAGAATTTAGAATTTTTTTTTAGATTTACAACCAGAAAGCAATATACTAATTATGATCAGACATTTGCATCAATAAGCTTTTTAACTGTAAAAAATTGATATAATAATCTTGATTTATGTTCAGATCGCCAGATGCTTCTTAACATTTGAACTAGTCATATCATTTACCATAATTTATGTTCAAACCACCTTAATTTCTAAATTGATTAACATATATTCTCATTTCTTAATTTATATGGTTTTGTATGCTAGCAAATTCACTTTAAAATCCTCTCCTTTCCACTACATTGATTGTGTAATTTTGCTCTTTAGCGATTGAACATCCAACTCCACTGTTTATTCTTCTTCAACAAATCAAGTAGTTTCTGTTTCAGAAAAATAGCAATTTTTTATAGTAGTCTCCCATGGTTTTCTTGCCACGGTATGAAAACAAAAATAAAATATAAGTAACTTACAGCATAGGACACTGCAAAAGCCTCAGATTGTGTCAAATTCCAGTCAGTGGATTCATTCGTCATAAAGAATGCAGTCACCACCATAAAGAATACACCAAAGAAGTATGAATATGCTGTCACCGATATGCTTGCAGGATACTGGGCTAAAACTGGAGCCTGAAACATATGTAAGAAGGGAAGGTAAAACTTTACAAACAACACAAATCAGCTATATCTCATAAAAATATATAGATAATGAAAAATGAAGTGGCACACCTATATTGTCATGAAGAAAATTAGAGTTCTGCATCATTTGTCTGAAGGAAATCCAATTATCCAAATACACTACTAGAAATACAGCCAAATCATGGTAAACCAGAAATGCGAATTTTAACTGGGGTTTATAGAATCAATGATCATTTGAAACACAATAGTATAGGGAATTGAAAAGAAAGTTATGAAAATGTAAAAGCATAGAAATTGAGGGATATTCCAGTATGTGAAAGTTTATTAAATGAGAGCTACTGCAACGTTTATGAAATTGTTTAATCACACTTCAAAGAAGACTAAGCCAATGATGTGAAGAAAGAACAACTATTGATATATGGTGTACATTTTAAAAACAAAATGAATCCCTAGAAATAGGAAGTTGGACAGACCAAATTGGTTAACCAATAAATCAAACAATATGTCCAGCTGACTGTAACACATGCATGTAAAAATCATTGTCCATGAAATATGAACCCAAAATGTGTGTGTTAACCTACATGCTCATGTAAGCTTTACATGAAACAGAAGCTAGGCAAATTTCAACTCAGCTAACTATTCATTACCTGAATGGATAGACAAGCTGCCATGCACATGCAGTTCCCAAATAAGCATAAAACACCAAGATGCCAATTATCAATCCCTAATTCCAGAAAACTAGACAATAACCATCCAACAGGCTCAGGCTGACCCTTGGCAATTATTTCACTTTGCCCTGCAAATTCTGATTCCTTGTTTCCAAAAACGGCAGGACCACGGAACATAGCCATTAGAATGGCACCACAAATACACACAAGAGTGCCTCCTAACTTAGCTTGGCCTTCAGTTCTTCGCAAATTCACTGTTTCTGTACTGCATAAAAGAATAAATATATGTGACATTGAACAGTGATAATATAAGTGGATTACGGATATATACACATAAACGAAATGGATATGAATCTGAGTATCATATATGTGAAGAAGCCCAAACGCACAACGAGCATACACAGAGGAGGATAGGGTGAGATAAAACGGAGTTCGCATGTGTGTGTGAAGGAGAGAGAGAGAGAGAGAGAGAGTAGACTGACCCCATTATCACAGCCAATGCAAATGTAAAGACTGGAATAGCAGGCTGAATGGCTGCAGCATAACTCGGATTTGTGTAGTCCAAACCAATAAGAAACAAAAGTTGATTTCCAAATATCCTATTCAATTACCAAGGAAAAGGAAAAAGATGAAGATAAATCAGTAGAACTGCAGTACTAAAAAATATAAGCATAAAAAGCATTGGAGATTTAAAGTTACCCAGTCAAACCAAGAAAGAAGAATGAGATAACAAGGCGTCTATTCAGAGGCGGTCTTAGCCTTCTGCAAAATAAGAAATAGAAGATTAGTAAGTGATGCACAATATAAAACACCACCTGAAAGTACAGCTAAAGAAACTTCAGAATGAAAAATTCTTTATGAATGAGCCACGAAATTAGTCACTGACAGAAGAAACATATAATGATTTTTAAGTAACATTATCAGTTGTTCATTAGGCAGTAAAATGAGATTTTGGGATTAAGGTTCTAGCATGGAACACATTGAACAGGGCCCAGAGATAAAGACTTTCTTGAAAATACTATAACTAAGATTGATTTCCTCCCATTGACTATATTTATGTCTGTGAATGGTAAAAAAATCGGATTATAAATTTTAATGATGTTGACAAATTAAAGCATCCAATATTATTGTTGTTCAATGTCCTCAATAATACAATAAACTAAGCCATATTTTTTGGCACCCATTTGATGTTTCACAGCATATACTAGACTACCCAATATAACCAGATCTTTCAAAATCACAAGAACAGACCATATTTATTTAGGTCTACATGTCCAAAAGTTCCACTAAGATCATATCGTTCTTTTGAAATGAAGCTTCTCAGACCTATGCAAGATATGTTGCAACAATCCAAGTCGTTTTACCCTAAGTTTATCCTCAATCAATGTCAACTCTACTGGTAGGCCTATAATCTCATTTGTTTTAGTATGGCTATAAATCAATCTTAGCATCATCCTCCCACTCCATCTTATTCACATGTAATTATTCGATTGTCATAAAGCATAATACATTTAATGAATACGTTGCTGCCTTTTAACTATATAGTAGTTGTTCGAGATCCTTGCTAGTTTTATACGATCATGGAAATGCATATTCTCGAAATACGCCATCATATTTCTATATGATATTCCTGCGAGGTAGTTTATTGGGTGTCATCATAAAATCCACGTGAGTGGAAATTTTAACAGATGGAGTCTTATTCAATAAATATGAAACTCATTTATATAAAAGAGATTTCAAATATAGAGACGTCCTGATGATCATGGTTAAATTTATGATTTAAGGAAGGAAGAGGCGTCCATATATAATTTAAGAAGTTGTTAGTATTTAATCCTCTAAATTGCAAATCCCAAATATCAACTGACACTGAGGGCCGACACATAATGATTAGTTGGTTAAAAGTTAAAACAAAATTTAAAAATTATTTCTTAATTTATAAATTTAGAAGCATCCTATAGAGAATATATGATTAATAAGAATTTTCTCAATGTCCTCTTTCAAGGTACCTATTATTCATTATTCTTAATTGCATATTGATGAATTTATTAAATTAACTAATACGTGATATTTTGAAATTGATTCAAACTAAGTAAAAGATAATCTTAATTGGATTAAGATGAACTTATTATAAGTATCACTAATCCCAGGTCAAGAAAGAAGAACTTGGTTCAACAAACTAAGAGCATGTTTGATCGGCTTTATTTTCTATGGAAAATGTCATTTTTCCACCTAAATTCCTACTTTTAAGGTGTGTGATTGATAATTTTTTGATGAAAAATATTTTTCTGGTTATGTAACCATATTTTTCTCAAAAACAAGGAAAATATTTTTTTTAGGGAAGGGTTATTTTTATTTTCCAAGTAATTCACTCTCTCTTTCTCTTTCATCTATCATCTCTCTCATCTATCCACCAATAAAAAATGAACAAGTATAATATTTTCTAGGTTGAAAACTATATCAATCAAACATATTTAATTAATTATTTTCATTCCATGCAAATTTCATGCTCGCAATCAAACCACCTAAGTTCCGTCAGAGACCAACACAGCTCTACCTAGAATTTCTGAGATGCTAATAAAGCATGTCAGACAATCAACAGTGAGAATGGTCCATCTAAAACGTTGGAAGATGCCACACCTAACCAGACGGCGCCAGTTATTATACTACACCTACATTAATTTCATTAGTCTGCAAAAAATATTCTCATTGGAACCATAAATATTCTCATTGGAACCATAACTAACTTCATCGCATATCTGAAATCCCCCACCCTTATCTCACTTATAGAATCTCGCTACAGACTGTTGTTTGCAAATTTGTCACATTTCCAGGATCGAGATGTTAAAATTAAAACTTTATTAAGAATCTTGATAAATTCACACTTAAATTTGGTAAAATTGACAAATATTTGTAATGTAGCTCACAAATAACTATAACCATTTTGGAATAGCCAAACTTTACACATAAAAACAGATATATGCATAAACACAGGGATCTAGACACATATTTTTCTCGTTCTCAGGATCGAGATGTTAACATAAACACATGATTAAGAATCTCGAGAAAACCACACTTAAATTTAGCAAAAATAATCTAGCCCTAAATTAGTGGTATAGAAATAATCAATGCCAAGAAGTCTGTCCCCATTTTGGAATAGCCAAACTTATATACACATACACATAAATACGTATAAACACAGAGATCTAGACATGCACGCACGCACGCACCCCGAAAGAGGGAAATGGAGGACTGACTTTTCGCGTACATACGCCACAGGAGCGAGAATCGAAAGGGCAAGGAGGTCTCGTAAAACACAGAAAACAAGCTGATTCACCCCCACATTGAGTGCAACTTTGGTGATAACATGGTAACCTCCATTGAACACCTGCACCATGGCCATCGCCATATGTGCTCTCCGTACATTATTTCCAATTAAACTCACTGTAAATGCTGCTGCCATCTTCTTCATAACAGTAATTTCATCCCAATATTGCCTATATTTGCATAATTTGTGTATGTATAGCTTGGGACGGCGGAATGGGGGGTGAAAGGATGGACGGTGTGAAGTGGGGCTGTGCGATTCGTGTTGTTTAAGGAAGACAATTATAGTGATACGGAGGATTTTCACGTGATTTTCACGTTTTTGTGATGACTTCGGGAGTGTTGAAAGGGGAGAAGAGACCAACTATTCACCAGAGTGTTGCACCCGACAAACCCGTGCAGGGGATCTAATACGAGAGGAATTGACACAAATAGCACTAAATCTAATACTAAGATTTTAATGAATTTTAAATATTTCCATTTTATAAACAGAATTCCACATATTATATAAAATCTTAATAGAATCCTATATTATAAATTTTATGAATTTCATAAGATTTTAGTCAAATTCTAATTTATTGAAAATTAATAATTTCATCATTTATTGAAATTTCATAATCTTGTCATTTAAAATAATTGATTTTGTCAATCAAATAAATCAAACAAATAACTATAAACAAACTAAAAAGCACTTCATTTTATTATCAAAAAAATAAAATTACAATCTACAAAATCAAGAAAATAAATATCAACAATCTTCATTATCATGTCAAGTATTAGGCACAAAATATGCACTAAATAATAAATATTTTATAATTAAAAACATGTGTAATTAGTGAATAGAGTTTTAAAAGTAGAATTGACTAATTACTTCATTTGGAATATTAATTCGACTCCAAATTCTAATTTAATCGAGAACTCAAATCTACTTTCCTTTTTCCTCGATTAAATGAGATATTTCGTTATTATTTATTTATTTCTATCAATTTATTTAATTTTCTTCAATGCAATAAGTAATTTTGAATTTTTATTTATGAAACTGAAATCCATTGAAATCTAGTGAGTCAGGCTAGAATTTGTATGGAGACAAATTTATAAAATAGTTAAACCATTGACCGCTCACATTTTTTATTTTTTGCCCATAACGTGGCTCAAACGAGGGCTTTATTCAATTTTCTTGTAACATAAGAAACAGTTGAATTATGAAAAGTAAAACAAACATTTATAATATATTAAATATCACATTAAGTGAGAATTATTTTTTGGACGATTATAGTCCTACTATAATTCAATTATTATAATAATAACTTACGTTTCGTTTTTCAATATGTATTTAATTTATTTTACCATTTAGTTACCATTGATGTATATGTACATTTCACAGATTCATTACACCTATTTGTTTTCATTAATGTATGAATTCCCTATTATTAATTTTCTATTAATTAAAATTCTCATTCATTCATTTAATTAATATTCATCATTATTTATGTCTTTCATTGTTATTAATTCTAATTATAAGTTAATTAAAATTTCAGATTGCATTTCATTATTACATTCATGTATACTAATTAATATTCAACTTTACATAGTTGAAAATTAAATAAATGATTTAACATTCATTATCACGTATATATTTTCTGGTATTAATTTTAAATTAATTAACATTCACACATATTCAAATATTACTTTTACAGTATATATAAAAAAATTTGTAATGAAACGAAAATTTACTACTGACAAAAGATATGTGCTTATGTGACATTGATAAGACAAATACGTGACACTTATGAGGCACAAATATGGTATATGGGTAACTTTAATGTGTCAATGTTGGACATGTAACAGTAGCAATTCGAAAGATATCCAAAATCTCGAAATCTTTGTTTATTTTCAAGTCTCCAAAACTTTTGACACAGGAAACTAGTTTGTACTACATTTGAAAGAATGAATCTTTCTAAAAAGGGATAAATGTTTTAAATAATGGTCAATGAAACTTGTATGTAACGAATTAATGCGTGCCAAATTGATAAGAGTAACATTAACATGGTGCTAACGTGGTAAAGATATACGACTTTTGTGATATTAACATGACAAATACATGATACTTATGTGAATAGGTACGTAAATAACTAATGTGTCCATACTAAGACGTATAAGAGTAGCAGTTCGAAAGATTGTTTTATTCAGGAATCTCTAGATCTATGTTTATTTTAAACTTTTCAAAGCATTTTGTATTTTTGACATGAAGGAAACTAGTTTGAACCATGTTACGCCTCCCATGACAACGCTCCAGAAATCCTACATCACAAGCAAACCTAGTTTGGTCGAACCCCGTGAAGAGGTCGAACCAATGTGGGATACACAACCCTCTTAATAGGAGATGCCACAAAAGGGACTCAACAAGAGATCATTCATGCAATCCTTGGTATATATGATTGATATGACAATTAACTGCTATCTATTCAACTAATAAGGTCAAGTCTAAGTCTCATGCCAAATTTTTTGGACAATAAAATGATATTAGCATTTAACGTTTATGATTTATTAGCATCTTTGACAATGGCGTACAAGTGAGGCTATGTACACTTTCGTCTTACTACTAGCATTCATCCAACTCTACTATAAAAGCTCATGCAATGTAACATTCCAAAAGTAATGCAGTTTTAGATTCTTAAACTATGCTCCTGTTTTGGCTCCATTGTTCCTAAAATGTAATTTCCTCTCTCCTAGTATCAACCACCCATTATGTAATAAAGTAACTTTGACAGTTCAGTTGAGAGGGCTTTTGGACCCTAGCCAATTTGGGATACAACCCTTGGTTTAAATGGTCTGCGTGAAAAGGGGCTAGATCGTAGGCCTCAATATTAGTCGCTATAAAACGGACACCTAGGTATCAAAAAAAGTAATAACACACACCTATAATAATATATTAAATATCACATCAAGTGAGAATCATTTTTGGACGATTTTAACCCTACTAAATTTAATTATTTCAATAATGCCTTACTTTTCGTTTTTTAACCTGTAATAAATACTACAAAATTTGTGTTATTGATTCTCAATTAATTAACATAAACATTAATCCAAATTCAATGAATCTTGATCTACATGAATCTGGATTTATTTTAGATGAATTTATTTCTATTTATGTATCTAGGAATTTCAATGAGTGTTTAAATTAAGGGCGAATTCAGGATTGGATCCAAGATCGAACTATAAATTTTCAAGCCGAGCTAATATACAAAAAAAATTTACACATAAAAAAACTGTTTTTACAATAAATAAATAAATAATGCCTTATCCAAAAAAATAATAATAATAATAATAAAATAAAATAAAATTTCTTGGGCCTTGGGGGAGACTACAGCCCAGTCCTCCCTACATCGCCCAGTCCTTCCTACATCGCCCCTGGTTTAAATTCATGTATTATCAAATAATTCTTATGTACCAAATGTAGTATAAAAAATTGCTCATTTGTAATATTTTATTACCACAAAAAATTTGAATCATAGAAGTTAAGTTTTTTGAGTAAAATTTTTTCTCTTAATTTATACCATAAATATTATTTTCTTTAGTTATTTTGAGACTCATAAAATCCTCTCAACAAATTGGTATCAAATATGACTTTTATGGCACTTGTAAAGTACTTCATAATAACGTGCAATGCACTTCAACTTCGAGTAGTGAACTTAAAAATCTTCATTATTTTTTAACCTCACATCCTCAAAAAAATACTATTCTAAAATTCATTTTTTTCCCCAAAATGAGGCTCAAACCACAAATATCTGTCATTATTTCATCTACATTTATCCAAAGCCTAACCCCTTTTTCACATTGAATGCTCGCGTCTAAAACACTCTCACACTCGTATACTTATTACTTGAAGCGACTTGGCCATTGGAATGCATGCGACCAACTTTACCACCACCCGAGAAAGCCATGTGTGACAAACAGTTTGTCCAAGTGTGTAGGAACTAGGCCTGTATTGACATGAGAGGCTTTCAAATTTATTGGCCACGTTAGAGGTACAAAATTCAAGGTCAACAAACCACATTTGAAAAAATGAATCTTTTTAGTAAGGGATAAAGGCGTTAAAAAAATTATATTTGAAGCTGGACTCAACTAATTAATTCATCCCAAATTGATAAAAGCAACAAAATTTATGGTAAGTGTAGTTTCTACATTCATTCGAGGTTCTAAAATATGATATTTTATTGTTCTTTGAATAAAATATTACCTAACTGGTGTTATCTTGCATCTTGTATGTAAAGCTCGATGTTTGATGAAAAATTCGAGAAAAGAATGCAAAAATAGTAAAAAATGGACAAAATTCAAATTTTGGGGATTAAATTACAAACAGTTCATAGGTGAGACAGGCGACAAAATGAAGATAAAAAATGACAATGGTAATTGGATACAATTAAAAGATAGATGAACAATATTACAAGAGAAGGGGACTGAAATGAAGCAAATTTAAAGTTCGAAGACTAAAGTGTAAATAATCAAAAGTTGTGTCAAACATCACAATGAAGATTCGAGAGTTTTAAGAGTCAATTGGATGAGGAAAGAAGTCAAAGTGATGAAATATAGTTAAAGTATTATCACATATTAACTTTCAAGTGAAAAAGTTATAATTCGAATTTTCAATCTCAGTTTGAAACCAATTTTTGGTATGGCAAACGTTCGAATTGAAAAAATGGTATCTCTAGAAGAGTTGTAGCCCTTTTAATTAGATTTCTTCAACTCATTTTGAACCACTTTAATTGGATATCAAGAGAAAAAGATATGATCAAAATACTAAATACTGTTCGGCAGAAAAAAAAATTATACATATGTGGCCGTGTAGCTTTAGTTAGATGCGACCACATCTATGCCTCCTGAGCTCCTGGGATCAATTATGATTTCTTCTATGCGGCTACTTTCATTTGTACTATGCAACCGTATAGTATTTTTTTCGACGCAAGATTTAGTTTTCTTTTCGAATTGAAACTTTACTTAGGTAATAATCTTTTGAGCATTCTTTAAATACCATAATCTATCCAAAATGTAGGGAGACCTCCTTAGACCTAAAAATCTCTATATTCAATCTATTATGGAGGCAAATAATGAAGCTAGATCATCAACATCAAGGGAATTGTACAAGATTCTTGAAATTTATCCTTTTAAAATTAAGATTTCATTCAAAAAAACAGATTTCTCCTCTTTCTTCCTTATTTCTTCAATTTGGGATTCGAGTGATGTCTTCTAATTATTTCTTGTATAATTTAATAATTAAGATGGTTGGCTAAGTTTCTATTTTGTATTGGATGAATGATGAAATCTATTATTTTTTATTTTAATTCAAGACAAATGATTTAATCATTCTTGATTTTCTTGATT